AACTCAGAATGAGGAAATTGAAATGAGGAAGAAACCAGCTAAATCAACATGTGGATGACAACACAATAACTTGAAAATCTCTCTTGAATTCTTATGACAATGCAACATCTGTTGAGACCATGATAATTTGAACAACGGAGAAAGTTATATGGATATACAACTTCTTTATTATATTGTAAGCGGCGTTTTCGGCGCTGTACCCCCGTCAACAGGCAGCAGGGTTACCTGGGATACGAGGACACACATGAATGAGCGTGCAGGGCAGGTTGTTCCGTTTGTAATATGGTTCAGGATATTTTGCTGCCCATAAAATTGACGCCGTGACTTCATTCATTCATTTATGTCAATATACATATTATCATCATCATCAATCTCATCAACAGTATTATGAAATACAACAATTAGGCAATATATGCACTACCATCATGATACAAACATACATTATTATAAAATATAACATTATACACAATATCACAAGCATACATCATTATTCATAGTCCCTCAAGGTGAGACACACCGTAAGCAAGTGGAGTCTCGACATCATCTTGCAGCAGTCTACCCTAGCCGTTCTTCAAGCTGGCGATATTTGTTTTTCTTAGGTCTCACACAACCACGACCCTGCAACTACATCAATGTTATTTCTGTGTAGTTCTGTTATGACCTTATCAGATTGATATGTCAACGAGATAAGTGATGTGTTCAGTTTAAACATAACACCAATCATTAATTTAATGACTCACTCCGTGTTAGTGCTCAGTTCAGGTGAACTCTGTTCACGGGCTCAGCGCAGTGGTAAGGTGAACCGTAATCCCATAAAACCAGTGAGGCATGAAGTCCCACATAGCCTAATGAGCGGTCATCTGCCTAACTGGATAATTTTAGGCCCAAAAGTGTATCACCTGTTGTTTCAAGAGATTAGCATGGTTTAGTGACCTGAAACCTTTAAAAATATCTGCTGGCAAACTGGGGACACCCCGTTTCGGCGTAGCTGCTAAAACCGTTATCAAGCAACTGATGTCTACTGGGTAGACCAGAAAGTTAGATCTCAGAGACCATATAATAGATCTATTATATGGTCTCTGGTTAGACCTTTAAGGTCGAGGTAAAAATCCTTGGATGTTTGATGTTGTGACGACGGTGTTGTTTTAAGGAATAGGACACTAGCTTTCTACCAAATGTAAAATGTGTTAACTCAGCTCACCCTACATTTCGTGGTGAAAGATACCTTTGTGTAAATGGTTATAAGTTCATAGTGAAAAGAGGAAAAGGGGAGAATGGATTCGTGAAAATGCATGCAGAAAGACTGCATACAGATCAACACTTCAACCGTCTTAACGACATAGTTTCTAAAATACCGAGAGACCACATCCACGGACCTGTGCATAACGAGGTCAAGGTAAATCTTTTCGGCTGTTGCAAAAATATTGACAATTTTTTAAAAAGGTAAAATCAAACTCAGTCTTGAATATATTGTGTATTCCTCATTGCCTAATGTAAAGACTCACATATTAATACTATGGATAGTTCAATGTATAGTTTAAAACATGTTTTCTTCAAGTAATCATGACGGATTGGCAAACAAACATAAACATGCATGTCAATGCCGCTCCATAACAATAATACAATTACATAGATAGTGATGTACACTGTCTGCAAAACATAATGTGTGCAAATCATAATGGCAATCCACAAGGGCAATATTAAAAAATATTGCATGCAACTTACTCTCTGGTGTCTTCCGATCAGTTAGACGTCCCAGACACGTCAAATCAACATAAGTTATGGTTGGTTGCACGCAGGTACACTGCACTGTTACCTTTAACAAAGTTATGTGCATAAGAATATATTAAGCCATATAATTAATAGGGCTGTAATGATGATCAAACTATCGATGAATTGCAATTATTCCGAAAGCAATTAATCGATGGTAGAAATGAAAAATTATCGATCCATCAATAGAATGTGTGACTATCGATAGCTTTAGTGATGGTTATTTATTCTTATTAAATATTTGTGTTGTTTTGATTTTTTTTATTGTTAAGGTGCAAACCTGCAGCTTCATTGAGTTTATGTTTTAACTGTTTACTCCATCTTGGTTTCAAGTTTCTTGTCAGTTATTCATAGGGGAGCAGAGGAAGCCCAACAGCCATTCGTATCCACCATTGTACCGCTGGGAGTAACTCAATTAGTTACATGGGAAATCTATAATCCTGTTTTGATCAAAGTGAACATTATGAACACAAACTGTGAGAAGCCGAAGTCAATTAATATTAGTATTCTGATCAAAGTATTTCTGCACAAAAGTAACAAACTCATAATTAGTGTTAAAATATACCACTAACCACTCAATATGAAAACATCTCGTTAGTCTATGGACGGGTCTATTACGCCACTGGGTAAAACTAGGTTTGTAATCACAGTCACGCCTGATTGATCCAAAGTTGTCTGATAATTGGCGTGTCTGACAAATGGGATGTCTAACTTATGAGAGCAAAAGCATACATGGAATTTGAGACCCCTTCTTCATCTCGGTTAAATGTGTGTTTAGCAATAATAAATCCTAAATAAAACCCAACTTGCTTATATATACAGGATGTACAGGAGGACTGCAACAGTCACAATGGATTGACATGAGAGTGACGATGAGAGCTATCGGGATAGGGTTTGTATGTTGAGGCACACTATCTTCTTATAAGTTTTCATGACTATCAATGCATCCCACTAATATATGATAACATTCATGATAACAGCACTCCATGTCCAGCCTGTTAAACAACACAATAAAAATACAATTAATATAATAGACTCACTCCCTTAAACCTCGGGCGAAGAATAGCCGTGACGGGCAGACGGGAATTACAAAAATAATTGATCACAAAATATTAAAACGAAACGTGCGAACCTGGGTAGGTACACTCGCAAGTGTGGGTTGCCCACGATAGAAGTTATTCAACAATGAATACTATGACGACATACCGAGTGTCACGTAGAATAAAACACAGTTTTGATGCTTTTGTTTCCTTTGTGAGGAGGTTTGACAAGGCCCTTCGCTCCCGAGTGGTGATGTGTGACGTCCTGGGCAGGAAGTGACAGTGTATTGACTTCTCTCCTTAATTACCCAGTTGGGGCTCCCTAATTGACCTTTATTTGTTCTGAAGCAGCATGGACTATTTATTTTATTTGGAAGTGGTTATTGGCAAATGTCAATAGGATTGACAAGACATATTTCAATGCAGTTACATTTTAAGCTCTCACAATACTGTTTATGTTCCAAGAATTACAAATTAACAGTAATATTTCATATTCAACAATTTCTTAATTTTGACTGTTCTGACGTGTATGTTTTGATATTATCCGTTCGTACACGCATACCATTGACGAGCCACATTTCATGGCATTACTTCTAATGTTTTAAGTGCCTAGTGACTACATATGATGAGGTAGGTGAGAGCTAAAGTAATAATTAATATGTTTATAATAAGGATAAACCACCATACCCCAAAAACATGGAAAACATATATTTTGGAGTAAAAGTAATTATTCTCGCCAATGGGCCAACTCCTATTTTTCGCCCATGGGCGAGATTTTTTAATATCGTTCTAAGTTAGTCGAATTAAGTCAATATGAGTTGAATTTTGTTTCATGATACTTATAAACATACACTCATTCATTTACAACCTCCAAAACATGGAAAACACATATTTTGAGTAAAAGTAAATATTCTCGCCCATGGGCCAACCTATTTTTCGCCCATGGGCGAGATTTTTTAATATCGTTCTAAGTTAGTCGAATTAAGCCAATGTGAGTTGAATTTTGTTTCATGATACTTATAAACATACATTCATTCATTCATTTACAACTTCCAAAACATGGAAAATCATGTATTTTGAGTAAAAGTCAATATTCTCGCCCATGGGCCAAACTGTTTTTCGCCCATGGGCGAGATTTTTTAATATCGCTCTAAATTAGTCGAATTAAGTCAATATGAGTTGAATTTTGTTTCATGATACTTATAAACATACACTCATTCATTTACAACCTCCAAAACATGGAAAAACACATATTTTGAGTAAAAGTCAATATTCTCGCCCATGGGCCAAACTATTTTTCGCCCATGGGCGAGATTTTTTGCAATATCGTTCTAAGTTAGTCGAATTAAGTCAATATGAGTTGAATTTTGTTTCATGGTACTTATAAACATACACTCATTCATTTACAACCTCCAAAAACATGGAAAACACATATTTTGAATAAAAGTCATTATTCTCGCCCATGGGCCAAAATGTTTCTGCCCATGGGCGAGATTTTAATATCGCTCTAAGTTAGTCGAATTAAGTCAATATGAGTTGAATTTTGTTTCATGATACTTATAAACATACATTCATTCATTTACAACTTCCAAAACATGGAAAACATATATTTTGAGTAAAAGTCATTATTCTCGCCCATGGGCCAAAACTGTTTTTCGCCCATGGGCGAGATTTTTAATATCGCTCTAAGTTAGTCGAATTAAGTCAATATGAGTTGAATTTTGTTTCATGATACTTATAAACAGACATTCATTCATTTGCAACTTCCAAAACATGGAAAAACATATATTTTGAGTAAAAGTCAATATTCTCGCACATGGGCGAGATTTTTTAATATCGCTCTAAATTAGTCGAATTAAGTCAAAATGAGTTGAAATTTGTTTCATGATGCTTACAAACATACACTCATTCATTTACAACCTCCAAAACATGAATTCTGATAGAAATTAAACATTCTCCCATTGGCCAGCCCATGGGCCACTGTTCGCCCATGGGCCTGCCCATGGGCGAGCGAGTTTAAATTTAAAGTTTTCGAAAGAATTTTTTTTCATTTTTTCGTCCTTGGCATATATTCATAACAACTGCATGTTTAATTAGGTCAAATCCCTTGTCAGAAAGTGCCCACAGTGCGGAGAGTTTCTGGACTTTTGTGAGTCCAGAATTAAATTGTGACGTGTTAATTATTCAGTAGATCGGTCGACTTTATCAAGGAGTTGTTTCTCCTTCCGTAAAATCACTTTTACCATTTTCTGACGTAATTGTCTGATTTCATCTTTTATACTTTGCGCATTGGGACTCTATTTCTACAATTTGAGATTTCCTGAAAATTATTCTGTTTTCTGAAGTTGTCATTTTGAGTTTCAGTTCTTGGTTTTGATTTGACAGGTGTTCTCTGACAACAGGGGTCATGTTATCTAAAGTATCAACATCGTCACATTTCCTGTGTTTTATACTGCAGCATGTATGACAAATGGCCACCCTACAATCCTTACAGAACAACTTAATCTGTTCGTCTTTGTGGATTTTACATATGAAGCGTTGCTTGGCTTTTCTCTTGGTGGTATCAGACAAACCCACAACTTCATGGTCACGTGACATTGGCATCATGTTGTGCATCTTCAGACATCCATCACAGAAGACATCGTCACAGACGGAGCACCACGAGGTGGCAGGAGTTGTCTTCCCTTGTACTTTGCAAACACTGCAGATATTTACATGGGCCGCTGTAATGGCAAAGAACAAGCTGTTTTTGTTCTGGATAAAGGAACACATATATAAGTGTATTGAAATTTCCTAGAATCAGTTACATTGTACAATAATTAACTTAGAGACAAATGATAGTGTTGGAAATTGAATTTCAAGACAATAAGAATTTGAGAAGAATCAATGCAAATGTCGATAATAAATGTCGACTGATGTAATGAGTTAACAGGATACCAAACACCAGAAAAATTGAAATAGTGTCAAATGAAAATATTTCATAAATCATTTGCTGAGTGCATACATTCATTCAATCTTAAAATTACAACAAAACACATTTTTTACATATTTCCACAACATTTAAAAATAATGATTGAACGTCAAGTGTCAATTCGTTACCTTTGCTCCCAGGTCCAAAGTCGTCCATCAGCCCCTGTATGACATGGCTTGGTTTCAGCTGACTGACCCACTCCTCTACTGGACTGTCAGGGGTGGTCACCTTCGTCAGTTGTCTACAGGAGGGACATGGGATGGACTTGGCTTGTATTGCTTCAGGCTGTGTGTTGGTGTATTTCAACAGACAGGACTTACAGAATGTGTGATTACACTGAAGTGTGGCAGGGTCTGTGAACACCTCGGTACAGATGACACAGGTGAGGTGGTGGTCTGTCAGTATCTTGGCGGTCGCCATCTGAAGAGGAATACATGGTTTAAATATCAATGCGGTCAACACCGACATCCAAGTCGTAGCATCTTAATATGTCACTCACAGTTAGAGTGCATATGACTGTATACGGAAGACACCTCGTCTTTTGACTTTAGTTCCATGCATTTATTAGCAATTGACGTACACATCATAGAGTGAAAAAACTGGGGAAAAGTATGCATATTTTCCAGGAGTATTGTTTTAATGAGAAACTACAATTCTAGATGCTAGGTATTAGAATCTGTTAAATCTTATATGTCACGCACGCACGCGCGCGCACACACACACATCCAAAGCGATGAAGACGAAGCGGCTGCAGTTGCAAATCGCGCGATGTATAAAGGACATAACTCGGATCACATAGTGTATCGCCACAAAGCCGTGATGTTCTGTACCAGTTTGTCTCCGTGTTAATTACACATTGATGACACAAACACTTTGTAGAAGGGCACCGAGATAGGTAGCCATTTTCAGCACTGACATTTCAACAGCTGACACCACACCGGTAAATACGTTAGTCCATGTTGACACAAAGTCTACTTTCTGTATTAAAGCGAAACCTCTGTCCTAACCTGCGCTGAAACTAAGTGAACTAACCTTCCCTTACTCGCCAGATAACAGTCCAAAATCAGAAGAAATGTTGGCTAAAAACACAAGGTACTGTTATAGGTAGTAATATCTGTGTTTGTATTGTGTCATATTATAACGTGAGACTTACCACAATTACAACACCGTGAATCGACAGGCTGTCCCCGCTCCACTTCCTGGTTGTCGTCGTGTGTGTCACGTGACGACGCTTCGTTCACGTGATATACTGACGACGGGTATGTTCCCGCGTCAAAGAACAACATTTAAACACTTATTTACAATATTTTTTCGAGTTGTTGTGTGTACGGGTTTATGATAAATTGATGGATTTGTTCATTGTACTGTGTAGTGAGAGAGAGGCTGAAAATGTGTTATGATTTGTAATTGTAAAAATGATTTCTCTATTGTGAGGTATTTTATAACGGCTCCATAAATGGTTTTTAACTGTTTGCGACCTTATCAGTCTACTCGCGTTTCAAAAACTTTTGTTATTTCTAAGGACGGTGGGATAGCTTAGTAGTTAAACTGTTCGCTCGTTAGGCCGAATGTCCAGGTTCGATTCCTCACATGGCTACACTAAGTGAAGCCCATGTCTGGTGTTCATTGCCGTGATATTGCTGAAATATTGCTAAAAGCCGCGTAAATCCCACCTCACTCACTCATTCGTAATTTCTAATTTTCATGTTATCATTTTCTTTAGCATGCTGTTTAAAAGTGTCGTTACCTGTGCGCATTAGTGAAGCAAATTATTGGTAATCATTAGAGGAGAGTTTATTTAATGTGTGTTGTGTTCAAGGTGTCGCCTCAGGCAGATAGCTAAATAAACTGAATGAAGCCGAATTGTGTGTTTTGTGAAGAAGGGAGTTGCCATATATGTTATATTTGGCATTTCACTTCCTCAGTACAGTACAGATTTTAGTGTGTTGTTGGGTTAAGGTCTATCCATGATTCTATCCCACACCCAGAGTCAGTACCTAATCACTAGCACACAAAGTCAGCTGTCTAACCCACTCAGCCTTCAGGGCTTCCACAAAAATGTAAGTCGGACAACTGCTAGTCTTGACCACGGTCTTTGTGTACCCCTGAGATGAGCCTCTCCCACCCTACCCGCCCAACTCACTTTTGACGTCCCTCCTGTCCACCCTACCCGCCCCACCAACTTTGATGTCTCCCCCGTCCATTCTACCCGCTGTACTACCTTCACTTTGACGTCCCTCCCTGTCCACCCTCCTACCCGCCCCACTCACTTTGACGTCCCTCGGTCCATCCTACGCGCCCTCTCACTCCACTCTTGACGTCCCTCCTGTCCATCCTACGCTTCTCCCTCCACTATGATGTGCCTCCCGTCCATCCTACCATTCACCACCCACTCTTAGACGTCCCTCCTGTCCATCCTACCTGCCCAACCCACTTTGACGTCCCTCCCATCCACCCTACCTGCCCTACTCACTTTGACGTCCCTCCCATCCATCCTACCCGCTCCACTCACTCTGACGTCCATCCAGTCCATCCTACCTGCCCCACGAACTCTGGACGTCCCTCCCGTCCATCCTACCCGCCCCACCTACTTTGACGTCCCTCCCGTCAACCCTAACCGCTCTCTACTCCACTTTGACGTCCCTCCCATCCATCCTACCCGCCCCACTCACTCTGACGTCCCTCCTGTTCATCCTACCTGCCCTACACACTCTGACTTCCCCTCCCGTCCATCCTACCTGCTCCACTCACTCTGACGTCCCTCGAGTCCATCCTACCCGCCTCACCCACTTTCATGTCCTTCCACTCCATCCTACCCGCCCCACCCACTCTAACGTCCCTCCTGGTCCATCCTACCTGCCCCACCCACTTTGACGTCCTCTCTATGCATCTTATCCGCCTCCACTCCACTCTGACGTCCCTCCCGTTCATCATCCTACCCTGCCCTACTCACTTTCGACGTCCCTCCTGCACATCCTACCTGCTCCACCTACTTTCTGACGTCCATCCCGTCCATCCTACCTGCCCCACCAACTCTGACGTCCCTAACGTCCATCCTACCCGCTCCACGCACTTTGACGCCAGTCCCGTTCATCCTACCTGCCCTACTCACTTTGACGTCCCTCCTGTCCATCCTACCCGCCCTACCCACTCTCACGTCCCTCGCGTTCATCCTACCCGCCCAACCAACTTTGACGTCCCTCCCATCCACCCTACCCGCCCTACTCACTTTGACGTCCCTCCCATCCATCCTACCCCGCCCTACTCACACTTTGACGTCCCTCCCATCCATCCTGCACCTGCTTCCACTCACTCTGACGTCCATCCAGTCCATCCTACCTGCCCCACGAACTCTGACGTCCCTCCCGTCCACCTCTACTCCGCCCCCACCCACTTCTGACGTCCCTCCCGTCCACCCTACCCGTCCTACTTCCTACTCACTTTGACGTCCCTCCCGTCCATCCTACCTGCCCTACTCACTTTCATGTCCTTCCCGTCCACCCTACACGCCCACCCTATCGCCCCACCTTATTTTGACCTCCTCTTCCCGTCCACCCTACCCGTCCCACTCCACTTTTGACTTCCTCCCTGCCCACCCTACCCGCCCCTACCCACTTTGACGATCCTCCTGTGCATTCCGGACCTGCACTACCCTGCTTTTGACGTCCCTCCTGTCGACCCTACCCGTCCCTACTTCACTTTGACGTCCTCGGGTCCATCCTTTAACGCCTACCTACTTCTTTGATGTCCCTCCCATCCATCCTACCTGCTCCACTCACTTCCCTGACGTCCCTCCAGTCCATCCTACCTGCCCCACCGAACCTGACGTCCTGTCCCGTCCACCTCTACCCGCCCCACTTCACTTTGACGTCCTCGGTCCATCCTACGCGCCCCACCAACTCTGACGTCCCTCCTGCCCTCACCCACTCTGATGTCCCTCCCGTCCATCCTACACGCACCACCCACTCCCTGACGTCCTCCCGTCCATCCTGTACCCGCCCAACCAACCTTTGACGTCCCTCCCATCCACCCTACTTCTCGCCCTACTCACTTTGTCCGTCCCTCCCCGTCCATCCTACCCGCCTCACCTACTTCGACGCCCCTCCCATCCATCCCACTCCTGCCCTACTTCACTTTGACGTCCCTCCCATCCATCCTACCTGCTCCACTCACTCTGACGTCCATCCAGTCCATCCCACCTGCCCCCACGAACCTGTCCCTCCCGTCCATCCTACCTGTTCCACCTACTTTGACGTCCCTCCCGTCAACCCTAACCGCTCTACTCACTTTGACGTCCCTCCTATCCATCCTACCCACTCCACTCACTCTGACGTCCCTCCCGTTCATCCTACCCGCCCTACCCACTCTGACCTCCCTCTCGTCCATGCTTCCCAGCTCCACTCACTCTGACGTCCCTCCCGTCCATCCCACCTACCCTACCCACCCACTTCTAACGTTCCTCCTGTCCATCCTACCTGCCCTGCCCACTTTGACGTCCCTTCCATGCATCTTTTATCCGCTCCACTCACTCTGACATCCCTCCCGTTCATCCTACCCGCTTCTACTCACTTTGACGTCCCACCCGTTCATCCCATCTGCCCCACCTACTTCGACGTCCATCCTCCATCCCACCTGCCCCACTCAATCTCTGACGTCCTCCCCGCCCATCCTACACTGCTCCACTCTCACTTTGACGTCCTCCCTGTTCATCCTACTTCAGCCCTACTTCTTACTTTGACGTCCTCCCCATCCATCCGCATCTGCTTCCACTTCACTTCTGACGTCCATCCAGTCCATCCTACCTGCTCCCACGAACCTGTCCCTCCTGTCCATCCATTTGCCCCACTTCTACTTTGACGTCCTTCCTGTCAACCCTAACCGCTTCTACTTCACTTTTGACGTCCTTCCTATCCATCTTCTACGACTTTACCTTCACTTCTGATCGTCCCTCCTTGTTCATCCGGTTCTGCCCATCCACTTTGACCTCCCTCTCGTCCATGCCCAGCTCCAGTTTCTTACTTTGATCGTCCTCCCGTCCATCCTACTCCACCCCACCTCCACTTTCTAACGTCTCCTCCTGTCCATCCTACTCCTGCCCTGCCCACTTTGACGTCCTTCCTCATGCATCTTATCCGCTCCACTTCCACCTGACATCCCTCCCTGTTCCATCCCACCCGCCCCTACTTCACTTTGATCGTCCCACCCGTTCATCCGTCTACCGCCCCACCTACTTCTGACGTCCATCCCTCCATCCTACCTGCCCCCACTAACCACCTGACGTCCCTCCCTGTCCATCCTACCTGCCTCCACTCACTTTGACGTCCCTCCCGTTCATCCCACCAGCCCTACTCCACTCTTTGACGTCCCTCCTGTCCATCCTACCAGCCCTACCCACTCCATCGTCCTCAAGTTCATCCTACTCCTCATGCCCTACTCACTTTGACGTCCCACCTGTTCATCCCACCTTCCGCCCGACCTCACTTCTGTCCATCCTCCTCCATCCTACCTGCCCCACTAACTCTGACGTCCTTCCTGCCCATCCTACCTGGGCTCCACTTAACTTTGACGTCCCTCCCTGTTCATCCTACCAGCCCTACTTCACTTTCATCGTCCCTCCTGTCCATCCTACCTCAGCTCCCATCCACTTCTGACGTCCCTCGTTCATCCTACCTGCTCAACTCCACTTTGACGTCCCTCCCGTCCATCGTACACGGCCTACTCACTTTGACGTCCATCCCTTCCACACTACCCGCCCCATCGACTCTGACGTCCCTCCCGTTCATCCTACCCGCTCCACACATCTTTGGACGTCCCTTCCCTGTCCATCCTACCAGCCTCACCGACTTTCATGTCCCTCCAATCCATCCTACCTGCTCCTACTCACTTTGACGTCCCTCCCTGTCCATCCTACTCTGCCCCACTTCTTTTGACGCCCTCCTCCCATCCATCCTACCTGCCCCTACTCACTTTGACGTCCCTCCCATCCATCCTACCTGCTCCACTCCTTCACTTCTGACGTCCATCCAGTCCATCCTACCTGCCCCACGAACTTCTGGATGTCCCTCCCTGTCCACCCTACCTGTTCTACTCCACTTTGACGTCCTCCTGTCCACCCTACCCGCCCTACTCCTTTACTTTGACGTACCTCCCTGTCCACCCTACCTGCCCCTACCCACTTTGACGTCCCTAAAGTCCATTCTACCTCCCTACCCACTTTAACGATCCTCCTGTCCATTCTACCCGCACTACTCACTTTGACGTCCTCCTGTCCATCCTACCTGCCCTACTCACTTTCATGTCCTTCCTGTCCACCCTACACGCCCACCCTATCGCCCCCACTTATTTTGGACTTCCTCTCCCGTCCACCCTACCCTGCCCTACTCACTCTGACCTCCCTCCTGCTTCCATCTCCTACCTGCCCTACCCACTTTGACGATCCTCCTGTCCATTCTACCCGCACTACCCACTTTGACGTCCCTCCTGTCCACCCTACCTGCTCCTACTCATTTTGACGTACCTCCTGTCCACCCTACTCCGCCCTACCCACTTTGACGTCCCTAAAGTCCATTCTACCCCTCCCTACCCACTTTGACGATCCTCCCGTCCATTCTACCCGCACTACCCACTTTGTCGCCCGTCCCGTCCGTCCTAACCGCCCCACGCACTCTGACGTCCCTCCCGTCCATCCTACCCGCCCCACCCACTTTGACGTCCCTCCCGTCCATCCTAACCTCTCCAACCTCTCTGACGTCCCTCCTGTCCACCCTACCCGACCCACCCACTCTGATGTCCCTCCCCGTCCACCCTACCTGTCCTACCCACTCTGACGTCGTTCTCCCTCCACCCTACCCGCCCCTCCCAATCTGACGTCCCTCCCGTCCCTCCTACCCGTCCTACCCACTCTGACGTCCCTCCCGTCCACCTCTACCCGCTCCACCCACTCTGACGTCCCTCCCGTCCACCCTACCTGCCCCACCCACTCTGACGTCCCTCCCGTCCTTACAGGATATAATTGTTTCAGGTTCTGTATAAACAATCCCAATGGAACAGTTCTGTATGAGAAGAATTTCAGCTTGCAATATAAGGGGGGTGCA